CATTGCAGGGAAAACAGCTTTAGGAGAGGGATAGGTTTATCTGCCTCACTTACTGAAATTGTCAGCTAAGTCCTAATTGCAGAATCTTTATTTCTGGAAAGTGTCAGAGACAGAACTTGATGTTCACAGCTTATAAAATTCACAGCACTGACAGAAAATTAATGTTAAAACATGAAAAATTGGATCATGAATTGGTGGTTTATAATATTCTCTAGAATATGTAATCCATTAGAATAAAACTATGATGCTCCTTCTAGTCTTTTAAATGTATTTTATTAACACACTCTCAAAGACGAAGCTACCATGTAGCATGTCTGCACACTACCCAGCACTAAAATAACCTAATTCTGATTTGGGCTCACAAATCCTCCTCTAATCACTGAATAACAGAGAAGGTGTATTCAGGGTCTCATTCAAAGCACAAGAATCACATTAAATGTCTTAAAACCCAGATTAAATTAATTGTGAAGATCCCTGTATTACTGCAGACTGCACAGTCAGAAGAAAGCAAACGGATTAAACATATGTAACAGAGGAAAGGCAAACGTGATTCAGACACAAGTTAAAGCAAGCAAATCTTAGGGCAAGATTTGCAGAGACAGGGAATAACACCGAAGGTATCCGAACACTTGGGAACATGTTGTACAAAGTAAACCAGGAGCTCAGTGATTGCAAACTAAACTCAGCAAAATCCAGCTTCAGCAACTGGAAGCTTATAAAAAAAAGCTGGTAGTTTTTAGTCCTTCCCCTCCTTCTTCACCTAAGACTTGAAAATAAGTGTTTTGTTCTTTCCAGCAGTTCAAATTACCAGTGGGAGAGACAATGTTATTTGTCATTACCTACATTACAGGTGGACACTGAGCCAAGCCAAGGGCATGATGTTAGACAATGCAGAGGGAAAGAGAAAGCTTCTCGAGCTCTACACAACCATTTAGGATAAGTATTACCCTCATTTTCCCATTGAGGAACTGCAACAAGGAGTATGGCTACAATTAACGCTCAGAAATTCTTTTGCATCTCCCACCTGACACTGGCTGGAAACGTGATTTTTCAGAGCATGGTTAATACCTTCTGAAAAAGCGCCTCAATCGCCGTATTCTTTCCTTTGTAAAAAGATCACACAGGAGGTCTACAGACTACCAGGCATCAAAGCTCGACCTCCCAAATTGCAGTCCAGTTCTAATTTCAACCATAAGCCTTAACGCGCTCTTTCAGGCGGTTATATTTATAGCAAAATACCTTCAGCTGCCATCCAACACATCAATTCTAAGTCTCAGGGACAAGCTCATCTAATTGCTTCACTGGTGTTACCACCACATTTCTTTAGGTTACCTTCCTCTGCAAGTTCTCTTGGAAGGCCATTTTTCCTCATTCTCTGCTTTAGGGCTTATCTACGCTGGCTCCCCATCTCGCCTAAAAATGAAGGTATGAGGTCGTCTGGTCTCTCATGGTGTATTAAGGAATGAGAAAAGAGGCAAGGTGTGTTTCCCTCCAAGCACAGCAACCTCTCCTCTGGTGGAAGAGCATTATGTGAAGACAGCCTGCCTAAATCCTAAGCTCACGGAGGAGGGGGCTTGCAGGCCTGTTTTATCTGGGATACTTCCCACAGCGTTCACGCAAGCGTTCACATAACGGAGCCAGGCTGTTCTGCAGCTTCATGTTATCGATTCCATAATTACCCTTTAAATCCTGCTACCGTTGCCAGTTACTACCCCTCTCCAGAGAGGTGCAAATGACTGTCAGGCTACAAAATCTGCCTTTCTAGCTGAAACGGCTGAGAAATTTTAGCTGAGAAACAGATGGGGCTGTGTGGAAGGGAACAAAATTAAAGATAAAAGAGAAGTGTTTAACTGAGAGTGAAAGTTGTACTCGCCACACTCCTCACATATCGGTCCCATTAACAATCGCAATGAATTAAGCCAGAAGTTGAAACACATTTGAAAAGAAGATCTCTCAACATAACAAACACCCAAAGCTGCTCCGCTGAAAATGGAGGTTTTCTTTTCCAAGCGTGTCTCTCAACAAAGGGAAATCAGGCTCCTATTCAAACAATTTGTAATAATACAAAGGCGTCTGCTCCTCAACTTCGCAACAAACACTCGGAAGGCTGCGCCGGTTTTTTGTTTGATGTGCTAATTGCCTGAAAGCCGTAACCAGCTCCCCCCATCGCCCTGCCGAGGGGCTGATGCCGCGGCCGCCGGGGCTCCCCTCCCGCGCCCCGCTCGCAGGTAACCTGCTCCCGCACACAAAAGGACCGGAGCCCGCCCGCTCGGCATCACCTCAGGTAAACTTCCAGCCTCCATCCCCGCCCGCTGCGGCACCGCGGCCACCCGCCAGCTACCGGGCGGCTCCCCGCAGGGCGGCGAGGACTCCGCCGGTGGCATTAACACTTTGCACCGCGGTGTGTGTGTGCGGGGGGGGGGAAAGACGACCCGAGGCCGGCACCACCCCTCCCGTTAAAGAAGCCCGGGCAGGAATTTGCGGGAAATGCTGCTGCCACCCCCTGCCGCGGGCGAGGCTGCAGCGCGGCCGCCCAGGAAGGGGCGAGGGCTGAACAACCCCCCCCTCTATAAGGGGGTGTGAGGATGGGGTGTGAGGAGGGGGTGTGAGCACGGGGGTGCCTCCCCAAAGCGGGGCGATGCCCCCCAGCACCACCGGGGGAATCACCCCTCCATTCCCCCCTGACGACCGGGGTTCCGGCAGCGGCACGGCGGGGCCGCTCCCTCACCTGATTGTCCATGGCTGGGCGCAGCGCCGCGGGCCCCGCTCGCTCGCTCGCTCCCGCCGCGGCGATCTACGCTGGCCGGTCGGCGGGGGGGGGTCTCTTTCCCCCGTCTCCAACCTCGTCTCCGAGCGAGGCCGCTCCTCCGTCCGTCCCCCCCCACCCCCCTCCCCGCCGCCTCGGCCGCCGCCGCCGCCTCCTCGGTCGCGGCCCCTCACGGCCCCGCCGCCGCCGCTCGCCTCATTGTGTGTCACTCACAGGCAGCAGCCCCGCCACCCCCCCGGCGCCCGCCCCGCGGAACCGGAAACCGACGCCACCAGAGAGGCACCCGCCCGCCGCCAATGGCCGCGCCGCCACACGCCTGGAGGCGGGGCTTCCGCCCGGGCGCAGCCGTCACGCCCCGCCTCCGCCTGACGGGCAGAAGCGACAGCCAATCGGCCGCGGGCGGGCTGCCGAAGGGGCGGGGTTAGGGGCGGGGCCTGCGCTGGGTCAAGCGGGGAGTGGGAGGGAGCGGGCCCTCCCCACCTCCCCCGCCCGTTACGCTGCGGCGTGGCCGGGCCCGTGGCCCCTTCCCCGGTGCCCTCCGTGGTTTGTCCCCGGCCCCGCGCCGCACGGCCGGCACCGGGACCGAGTGTTCAGGCCTTGTTGTACTTGGCGGCTGCGCCAACCCGCCCCTTTTCCCTCCCTGGGCCCACGCTTCCCCGCCGCTGGCGGCTGCGGAGCTCACCCGTGTGTTAATTCCCTACACAAATGGGCTGGGAACAAGGGAAACCGCAGCTCCCGGCACAGCGGGCAGGGCAGTCCCGAACAGCTGGGCTGGGCAGGGAGCCGGTGGCGCTGCCTGCCCGCGGTTTGCCTTGGCCTCCCGCAGCCTCTCTCCTTCCATTTTAGCTCCGTTTCCTCCCGTCTTTTCCCTTCCTGTTCATTTCCCCCCAACGCTCCATTTCTCTTTAATCTTACCCTGTTCTCCCTCACTCCCCGTTCATTCTCCCATGTTCTTCCTCATTTTTCCCTTCCTCTTAACTGCCCTCCGTCTCCCTCATTCTATTTCCGTTTCTCTCCTTTTCCCTCAGTTTCTATTTTCCCTTTGGTTTCCCTGTCTCTTTCAATTTTCCCTTGGTCTCTATCCCTTTCCCCCCCAGTCTCTATCCTGTCCCCCTCAGTCTCTATCCTTTTCCCCATCAGTCTGTATCCTTTCCTTTTCCCCCAGTCCCCCCCCCCCAGTCTCCATCCTTTCCCCCCCAGTCTCCATCCTTCCCCCCCCCCCCCCGGTCTCTATCCTTTTCCCCATCAGTCTGTATCCTTTTCCCCCCCTGGTCTCTATCCTTTCCCCCCCCCTAGTCTCTATCCTTTTCCCCATCAGTCTGTATCCTTTCCCCCCCCAGTCTCCATCCTTTCCCCTCCGTTTCTCCCATTTCTCCTCTTTGTCCCTCTCTTTCCCTCCGTTTCTCTCACGTTCCTTCTCATCCCCCCAGGCCGCTCTTGGGCCTGGCCCCCGCTGCCCTCCAGGCGCCGCCATCCCCGCCGCGGCGGAGCTCGGCGTTCGCTGCCATGGCCCCATATCGCGGTGGCTGGGCTGGAGCGGGGCTATTTGCAATGCAAATGGCCCCGGGCATTCCTTCAGTGCCGCGGTAGCCGTCAGCCGCTGGCCAGGCCCGGAGGCCACCGGCCCGGCCAGAGCGTAGCTGCCGGCGGAGGCCTCGTTAACACCCGCCCGCTCTGTGCCGCGGTTCCCGGCCCCGGCGGCGGCTCCGAGCGGGGGAATTTGCATCTGAAAAGTGGGGTTTGTTTTATCCTCGCTTAGAGCTCTGCAGGACAAGTTTGGGAGCCTTGAACGACGGTGGCACCGTCCTTCCGAGGGCCGTTTTGCCGCTGTTCCCGAGGGGATTTTCCTTTGAAAGCGACGCGAGGAGGAATTCTTCCCTTCGTGGACCGTTCCTGTTTGCGATAGTTTGTTGATCCCTGTCAGAAAGCCGCGGGTGAGCCGCTAGCGCCCTGTGTGCCGCGGGCTGATCGCCACAGGCGAGGATTAACCGGTTGCCCAGTAGTTCTAAAGAGCCGGTTTACCTCATCAACCTGAGAGAGGATGCTAGGAAAGCAAAACGCTTCACCGCTTCAGTTAACAACAACAACAGCAGCAAAAAAAAAAAAGAGCCTGTTTTGGGGTTCTTTTAAGTGCTCCAGGTTTAATTTTCCGTGTTTCTGTCTGATGCGGTCCCAAGAGCCATCTCCTCAGACAGTTTCTTTTCTTCTCCCTTGAGCCAGGGCCTCTTTCTCATTGAGATCTTTAATTGTGGACGTTATTCCCACACAAGCCACTCTTAGGTCTAAATCTTCTATTTTCTACCTCCCAATCCTACCCATTCACTCTTATCACAGCCCTTGGTGGTTAAATGCTCCCAGGCCTGGGAAGGTCTCTGTCTTTCCCAGATTTGACTCCACTCTTGCTCCATTGAATCTTCTCCTTGTGCAGGAGATGTTGCTCAAACACACAAGACCCTGAATTTCTCCCTTTCCTAAACATGGGCTGAAACATCATTAGATTTGGGGGTTTCATTTAATTCCTATCAGCAGCACTTTTTCTATGCCTTTAGTTTTGCCCAGCCTGGTGCCGATGGTTGTTTTCGTGCTCACCCAGACTGCCCTTCCACTCCAGCATCCATAGTTACCTCTGCTGGTTCCGACGCAAGTTGCTCCTCCAGCTGAGGTGGGATGCAAGCAAGAACTTGGACACTTCCAAGTCAGGAATTGGAAACCCAGAGGCAGGTGCCTCGGCTTCTGTGGCACCTCAGGTGCACAGTCCAATATGTGGGCACTAAAACTGTGCCAAAGAAGACATTTGACATAAGGGCATTGTTATACTGATGCCTGCTCCGAGCCAGCACCCCATTGCTCTGTGCTGGGACAAGTAGTGCCAGTTGGGGTAATTGAAGATGTGCTGGGGTAGCTCTTTACATTCAACCTAGAAAACACTGGAGGAGAGAAATTCCTTTAAGCAGCCTTTGCTCCACAAGCAACTCCCAGTTCTGAATGGTTTCCAGCCCAGTAACTGATCAACCTCCCCCCCGCCCCAAGACAAATCACAGCGAAGAACAGAACCTTGCCCAGCGCTGAGGAGTGTCTTGGGGGGTTCAGGTAGTGCTGGGGGAGCCAGCAGCCACCCAGGCTCCTCCAAAGGTCTGATTTTGCAGGGCCACCTCGAGCTGAGGAGCTGTCAGCTGAGTCCTTCGCACCCCAGGCAGCGGGGGCTGAGCTCCGGCTTCTTTATACCTATTCCAGCAACTTCGGGGGTTTGCAAAGAGCGTCTGCAAATCCAATTAGTGCCTGTCTTTGTGGCACTCTATGCTGGCAGAGATCCGCCGTGTTGCTGCCATCTACAGTAGGGCCAGTGCCAATGGATAAGAACCAGCTCTTATTTGCATATTCAAATATGCAAATGAAACATGACAGCTCTCCCTAATTTTTGTTGTGAGGGTTTTTATTTCTCTTTCCAGAGTCTTGCGTCAAAGATCCTTGTCTTGGACTCAAAGGCATGTGTTTAATCTGGCTTGGCCCACAGTAGGGGAATGTGCCAACGACTGACTCAGTGTGCCCCTCTCCAGCTTTCCTGGAGCCCCTTCAGGCACTGGAGCTGCTCTCAGGTCTCACCTTCAGGAGCCTTCTCTTCTCCAGGCTGACCCAGCCCAGCTCTCTCAGCCTGGCTCCAGAGCAGAGCTGCTCCAGCCCTCGCAGCATCTCCATGGCCTCCTCTGGGCTTGCTCCAACATCTCCATGTCCTTCTTGTGTTGGGAACCCCAAGATAATAGTCCTGCAGACTTAAAGATTAACACACAAACCTTGTTTTGAGGCAGTTTATCTGATAAAACAAGTGCCTCTGCTCTTTGTCAACGTGCAATATGGCAGAATAGAAGGACCCCAAGATCTCTCCTGGATGTACATCACCACCTTCTCTTGCCACCTGCACAATGATTACTGTGGTCTTCACCGACTCCCATGAAGCATGTGTATGACTGCAGGAGCCTTCGTTGTCTTCAGTTCATGGCAGAGACTCAATGCTGGGCTTGGGAGAGAACCGAGATTGTGATGGAGAGAGAAGCTGTGATTGAGGAGTGAGTGTGTTCTGCAGCAATGCTCTGGTGCAGCAAGGCTCCTGGTTTGCTAATTGGGATCCTTGCAGGGAAGCATGTTCCTTCGAATCAGCTCTTCATCCTAAAAATATTCATTCTTCTAAAAATTATGTGATTTTCTGCCTTCCCCTCCTTCTCCAGCCCACCCTCCACACTACGGTATTCACGGCACATATTTAACACCAGGGTAGTATAGCGAAAGTCCAGATTGTTAATAGCCAAAGACTCCGATTGCCAAAAAGATACTCCTAGCAACTACTAGCTGCATCTGGGAAAAATTACAGACAGCTCAGAAATTCTTTAGTTCCCTTATTAATGAAGGACTTGGTAGAAAAAAAAGCCCCACACTAATACAGTTTAGCTTAACTAAGTTCTTTTGTGCCTGAGGAAAATTGAAATTATAGCGTATTATAGCTACTGAAAAATGCAAAAGGCTTTTAATGTGCAATAACCCTCCAAACCAGAAGGAAGAGGGAAAATTCTCTTCGTATGTGGGAACACAATGCAAATTTATTTTATTCTTTCTGTGTATTTAGTGCTGGTGAAAAGAGCCAGATGAATAGTCACAAATACGTCATGTCCCTTGCAGATGCAACATGGGCAGCACAAGCGTCCTCAAACTGCCCTGCCAACGTGCTTCAATTCTGAATGAGGAGGACCAGCTTTCCGGGTGAGAACGAAGGCTGTCTCTATTCAGCCCCCGACCCCTCTGCTCAAGGCTCTTAATGAAGGGGCCTCATTAACACCAAAGGTGAGGTTGCCATTATAATGTAGCTACTGGTCCACTGCAGGCTGAATCGGCACCTATCAATTCATTTCGCCTGGCTATTGAGCAGCTGTCTGGTGACGGTACCTTTCTCTTGTACTCTATAGACAGAGGTCAGGGTTGGCCAAGTGATGTAACGGTCTGTGTCGTGCCAAGGCAGGCTGGACCTGCCACGAAGAGCATTGCACAAGCTGGATTTGTCCCACACTGAATACAAGCTGCTGGCACAAGTGCAGGCTGGAGAAGATGGGCCCAGGCATCTTATGTGCTCGCTGGAGCAAACAATCACTGTACAATAGGAGGGAGGGTGATTCACTGCTGAAATTTGTGTCTGCTTCACATGGGGCTCCTTTAGGTTGATGTCAGAGTCACTGAAAGGTGTTCATCTGCATGCTCAGACAGAGGCCACCTTCTGTCTGGTGAATGCCACACTAGACAGGATAACTTTAGGCCACTGAAAAATATCAGATGAGGATAAAAATAGCCTGACATATAGGACACGACAGGAGATCAGGAGGCGAGTCTGACCAGCACCAAAAAAATCCTGTTTGGAATTGTTTTCTGGACTGAAGAGTCCAAAAGCAAGTAGAAATAGAGGATAAATATACTGTCAGATATCATAGAATCCCAGAGTGGTTTGGGTTGGAAGGGACCTTAAAGCTCATCCAGCTCCAACCCCTGGCACGGGCAGGGACACCTTCCACTAGAGCAGCTTGCTCCAAGCCCCTGTGTCCAACCTGGCCTTGAACACTGCCAGGGATGGGGCAGCCACAGCTTCTCTGGGCACCCTGTGCCAGCACCTCAGCACCCTCACAGGGAAGAGCTTCTGCCTAAGAGCTCATCTCAGTCTCCCCTCTGGCAGGTTAAAGCCATTCCCCTTGGTCTGTCCCTACAGGCCCTTGCTGATTTTTGTGCATTTGGGGTCAGCTGCTCTCTGACATATTCCATCAAAACTAAGCTGTTCTGTTGGAATGTTACGAAATGAGCTTTCACCAGTCTACACAGCAACTGGAGGTGGGGTTGCCACATATGTAAATGTATGCAAACCACCTCTGATCTTGGTAACCCAGGTACGATAGCAGTTCAGATAATCCCCCATGTATGGGCTATGCAGATTTGCCTGTGACTCAGGGACTTTGGCTGGCCCTATCCATGCTGAAACTTATCCCACTGAAACCTAAATCATTATCGCTGCTATCACTCCCTGTGAGACAATAGTGCACCTGATTGCAGCAGAGTCACATCTTAGCAGTGTGGAACTTCTCACACGCTTTGGAGCTTGGTTTTGTGGCGTAAAGGCTCTGTCCAACCTGGCCTTGAACACTGCCACGGATGCAGCGCTCACTGCTTTCTTAGGCAGCCTGATCCAGTGCCTCACCATTCTCACAGTAAAGAATTTCTTCCTTATATCCAACCTAAATCTCCTCTGTTTAAGTTTGAACCCAACTTGAACTTGAGTTCTAGTGGCTTTTAATCCATATGTGTGTCTTTCGGCAAGGACGGTAGATGTTATTCGATAGTACACAATTCAGTCTTGAAGTAGGATGATTCCTGCTCAATAAATTCAACTTGTTGCCATCTTTGCTCCATTTCACAGATTTGCTTTTGATTTCACTTGGCATTACTCCAGTGGATGTTAATTCCTGGCAGTATTAGGATAGAAAGCAGCAAAATCTCACGTATATTAATCTGTACATTTCCACACGACAATTCTTCATTGATTACTTTTTAAATGGCTTCCATAAAGCACTTAGGAAAATATTGCAGTTTGCACTTTATTGGCATTACATGGCACTACTCGTGGCTCCAGCCCAGCAAAATATATTCCTAAGTGTAAGCAAATGCCATTGATATCAATGGAATTATTCCTATTCTTAAAATTAAACATATGCTTAAACATTGTAGTGAACTGAGACAGCTGGGCTCCTATGGAAGGCCTATCAAAATAAAAGCAGCATTGATTGCAGACTGTGAGTTTTCTAACCCAATGCACAACTGAGTGTTGCTTTTGGTGAATACTTGAGCAGTTGAGCTAAATCTTTGCCTTTTGTGAGATATTTGCAAGGCTGAAACCAAGTGTGCCATTGCAGACCAACCCGATTCAGTTTTAAGTTTAAACATGGTTATAAAATCCCATGTGCTTAAGCGAGCTCGTGACCTGGGACCCGAGTGACTGAATGTTCATAGAAAATGAATAATAAAAAGTAGAGAGCAGTCCTAATTGGAACCACATTTTGAGCTGTAATGGGAAGGCACAGAAAAATTAATCCTTCCATTTTAGGTATTTTGATAGCAGCCATTACTAGAGAATTGAAGTTATTTCAACCTCTTTGTCAGACAAATAGGAGCTGCTTGGTTTTCCTCTGAGAACAGCAATGAGAATGTCCTACTCAGTGGAACCGAATCGTGGGGGGTTTAGAGAAATAGAGATCATTTGAGCTTTTGATTAAAAGCTCTTTTTTTTTGTCACCTTATTTGGCCATTTAATGGCTGTGCTTCTCCTTGCCGAGAAGCAACTTTTACCCCCATCTCCTCTATGCCCATGGCTCAAAACCAGCCCTGACTGTGTGTGCAGCCACCGTGTGAGCTAATACAGAAAGACACAGGCAGGGGACCTCAAGAGCCTGACTGCTGCAATCACAGTGACAGTGTATCCACTGAAGTACAACTTGCAGCTGATCAGGACCTGATACGTTTCATCTGTCCAGAGCAAGCACCAGTATCTGGAAAATCCTGGCATCTGTTTATGTCCTAATGTCTTAATTTGGCCTGATATGAAGAGTGGATAGCAAGGATGTAGGTAATACAGGGAAAACAAACAAGAGACCTCTTTCCTAGCAGTTGTGAGGTTGGTGTAACAGAAGTACCAGCCCCTGAGCTGGAAATCCTGCGTCAAGCCTCAAAACTGACACTTCGAGTTGAAAGGACAAGGCATTTAGAGATAGTAATTCTTGGAGCTTATCTGTTTCCTTCCTGGGTTTCTGAACCGTTTGCATTCAGACTTTTGACTGCAGGCTTGGGAGATTAGAACTAAAATCAAAGCTGAATCAGCATTGGTTTAACATGACTCCAGCAGAGGGTTCTTTCAATCAATCATAAAGATTGCCAGGCTGGCAATAAGATCCCAGGACCTAGCAACATCCATTCCATGTTTCAAAACTATTATCTTCTTTCTCTTTGAGACAGTTAACGACTAAAGGTCTTTTGCAAAAGGCATAAGAGACACTCCAGTGAAGCAATTTCTTCTCCTGGCATTGTTAAGAGCAGGGAGTGGGTTATTATTAATTACTTTTGCATTATTTATGCAGGTCCATGAATATGCAATGTCTTTTCCAGATAAATCACTCCGCCTTGAAAAGTTTCCAGCCTGCGAGCCAAGCCCTGCAATGTAAATCTGTAACAGCAGGAGGCAACTCGGCACAGCAGAACAGGTAAGTGTTAATCCTTGATGCTGCAGGACTGGTGTGTTATCAACAGTGTTATTTCATTTGTGTTGCAATGGCACCAAATAGACTCAACTGATGCCGTTGTTTCACAACCTCTTTAATCTGGCATCAGTTGAAAGGAGCAGCCTCTATCCTCTTCCTCGTTCTCTTGCCTCTTTTTTTTTTGTGGTTTAGGCAGCCACAGGGGGAACCAAATCAGGGAAACAATCCGGGTTCATCTGGCAAAAATAAGGAAAGGTTTCACGCTGACCAGTCCTAGCTCAGATCCCAGAGCACACGGGTTTGCTGCTTTATCCTGCCCTGCCTGTTCTCCTGTGTCGCTCTGCTGAGCGAGCCAGCCAGCAGTTACCCCCGCAGAGGAGAGGCACCCATAGGCCAAGGGGCCCGGTGCAGAAGGTACTGTCAGAGCTCCTCATGGTCTGGAGGGGTCAAGAAGGGGCCAGTGTTGCCTTTCATCCCCTGAGGGCTCCGAGCTTTACCCATCCAATGCGCTGGTCATCCCTGCAGGAGCCCTCTCAGCTCAAGGCAAAATGCCTCGACTCGTCCCTTTGGCAGGACATCCAGGACAGGTTGGATGGGGCTTGGAGCAACCTGGTCTAGTGGAAGGTGTCACTGCCCATGGAACTGGGTAAGCTTTAAGGGCCCTTCCAACCCAAATCATTTTGTGACTCTATGACAGCACCACTGGGTTTTGGGGGGTGTTTGTCAGCTCTGCAGTGCTGGAGCTGTGGCTCCCTGGCAGGAAGGACGGAGCATCCCCAGAAGCTCAGGGACCTTTTGGAGGTTCAACCCCAGCCTTGGATAACATCTTTGCAGTGCTGGGGGCACCCACACCGCAGCCACATGCTGGTGTCAGGGCTGCTTCGCGTTTTCAGGCTAGAGCCGTGCTTGGAGCAGGAGGCCCTGCCTCGGGCACTGCAGTCCTTTTAAAGCTGCTTTGTGGGTTTCTTTTCTCTTTCTTTTTTCTTTTCTTTCTTTTCTTTCTTTTTTTTCTTTCTTTCCCACTCCCCCCCACCCCCCCACCCCAGGTTCCCAGGGCTGGGATTCAGCTTCTGGCTTCATCCAGAAATCCCTGAGGGTTTCAAATCCCCACGAGGCCTCTCAATGTCTTGATCTGCTTGAATAGGCATTTTTAACACGGCCCCGGCTGTCATCGGGGCCTGTTACAGTCACTCAACTGCAGCAACATTGTTCTCAAGGCGGCGGCGCCGGGGACACCTCCCTTATTACCATAGTGCACAGGGGATTGTGCTGCTGGGCTTTCTGTACCGAGCATCCCACCAGTTCCATGGCCAGAGGCAGCCAATTAGCCCTCCTCGCCCATGCCTCATCCGCCATCCCTGCGTGACTCTCTCAGCATCCCCATCCCGCGGGGCTGCTGGCTCCTGTCCATCGCCAGCGGTGCTGTCGGAGGTGAAGGTGACCCCCTTTTCCTGTGCCAGGCTCCCTGGCAACGCAGCCTTTCTTTGCGAGCGGCCTCCTCCACCCCCTGAAGGGGAGAGGGGCTGTGAAAGCCCCGCTGCACTTTTGAACTTGCTGCCGGCGCGCTCAGTGGCTGTGCGGGACGGAGCCGAGCGAGGGGCTGAGCCCAGCGGGGACCCGGTGCAATTGCCCAGAAGTTATTAATAGGCTGTAGAAGAATGTGATGGGCTGGGGAAGGGGTGAGGAGGGGGGAGAGCGAGAGGGAGTGAACCAGCGAAAGGGAGACAGGGTGATGAGGGGAGAGGCAAGAGTGACAGCGCGCAGGGCAGACAAAGAGGTGGAGAGATGGGCACCAGCATGGGTGGCAGTGGCAGAAAAAGGCTGGAGGTCCGAGTTCCCCCTTTTCCTGCACCTTCTGAGGTGTCTCATCAGTGGCCATGCTGGAGTAGAGGTGTCCGACCCCGGTGCTGGAGGCTGGAGAAGGCAGAGGGACCTGGGGGTTCAGCCCTTGCACAAGACATCCCTTTCCCCAAGATGGGGTTCATGAGCCAAATTTGCCATCTAGTGGCTCTGGGGACCATTGCAGAGGGACCCACGAGGCAGCAGGGCCACTGCATGGGTGCTGTGTGGCACCTGCATAGCATCTTGTGCCTCAGAGGTTAAGCCCAGAGTGCTTCTGGTTTTACTTTACTCATAGAATCATAGAATACCAGGTTGGAAGAGACCTCGAGGATCATCTGGACCAAGCTTTCCATGACTAAACCTGGATGTCCCAGCACCCTGTCCAGCTGAATCTTAACAGTGTCCAGTGTTGGGGAATCCACCACTTCCCTGGGGAGATTATTCCAGTGGCTCATTATTGTCATGGTGAAAAGCTTTCCTCTTGTGGGCAATCTCCCCAGGAGTAACTTGTGCCCGTCACCCCTCATCTTTAACGTGGGACTCCTTGTAAAAAGGGAGCCTCCATCTTTTTTGTAACCACCCTTTAAATACCAAACATGGTGAGAAGGTTTCAGCCTTTTTTTTCTCCAGGCTGAACAGTCCCAGCTCTTTCAGCCTTTCCTCTCACGGCTTCCCAGCCCTTGGATCATCTTTATGGCCCTTCTGTGGACCCTTTCCAGGCTATCCACGTCCTTTTCTGTATAGTGAGGACCAAAACTGAACACAGTAACTTTACTCACAGGGACCCAAAAAGCCTGTGGACCCTGGAGTGATGTTACCTTGTTCTGGCTGCATTGCAGGGAGGAAACCACAGCCACTCTGCCAGCCACTTCAGAGGACCCAGCCCCATGACATGTCATGCAGCAAGGCCTGGAGAGCAAGAGTGTGTCTCTGCCACCAGCCTTTCAGCAAGCAGAGGAGGCTCCAGGTTGCACATGGCCATTGGAGCAGAGCTGGGTAGGAACACTGCAGGTGGAAGACGGGGTAGAACACCGCAGGACCTGGGCCAGCAGAGCTTCTTTTGGGCTGTCACACAGGAGGATTTCTCTATGAATGTCTCTGCGTGGGTCAGAGAGAGCTTTGGCCACCCTGTTTTGGGGAGGACTGGCTGCTAACAGGGGATGTGGTGCAGTCAGGGGGAAGAAAGGGGCTCCGTGCAAGTCCGTGTCCATAGCTTTAATGCACAGCTCTCCTGAGCAAGACCACATACATCAATAAATAGAATTAATAATAATAATAATGAGAGCAGCCCCAACAAACCCAGCTGTCACCAGTTTGGCTTCTGTGTTCTCCACTCTGCCCTTGTCAGCAAAGGGTGCCACCGCTTGACTAATGCAGAAGACACAGAAGCACCATCTCCCTCCCCTTCTCAGTGGGGATCTGTTGGAGGAGGAGATCTCTGGTTCCCTGGAGCCAGCCTGGGCAGAGTCTTCCAAGGCATCCATGGGCTCCCCTCCTGCTCCACGCCTGGCACCACGAGGTCTCAGCAGCTCCCTGCCCCATCGTTAGCCACATTGCCCTTGGCCGAGGAGCAGGCACAGAGCCGAGGTGTTCCCCATGCAGATGCACATGTGTGCATCACTCACCCCATGCCCGAGGAATGCCTGAGGGATGCCACAAGCTCTAGCACTGCTTGTGGGCTTCCTCCAGGATAATGTAAGGCACCACGACAGGCGAAGAGTCGCTGGGCCAATATCCTATCTTTGGCTTGAACTTTGGCATCTCGTAGTTGACGTCAAAATAGATGACCAGTGGGCAGCAGTATAGGAGGGACATGGCTATCAGCACATGCCTGGAAAGGAAACAAGAAAGATATTTGTTGGATGGTGGCAACTTCATCTGCTCCTCCTGTACCTTGCACCAGGGTGTGGCTGGCATTGGCACCATGAGGCTAGAGCCAAGGGGTATGGCAATAGCAGGTAAAGGCCCCAGCCCTGTGATGCATGTGGGCTGCAGGGAAAGTGGGTCCTAGAAGGGCTCTTTGAGCTTTGGTGGGGGTGGGTCCTTGTGCAGAGTGAATGGGTGATACAGGGGACTTAAGCCCCAACCCAAAGCACCCATCCCACTTGCCTGTGGGTACCACCAGTGCTAGGTATCTGCCCCTGTCATCCCAATGCTCTGTGAGGATGAATCTGAGAACATACACTGTGTGCAGCACTTAGAGCCACACTTGGCCAGGCGCTGAAGTGTCTTGCCCAAACAAATCAGTGTCTTTCAGTTTGGCTATTAAAATAACTCCAAGAACACTGCACCTCATGCAGCTTCCAGGGAGCAGATGCAAGCTGTTTACCTGGAGGGACTTGCAGAACAATTACACTTGCAAAACCCCGTTTGGCTGGTGTGGAGGAGGAAAGGGATGGCAAGCAGTAATTAGGACCAAATCCTTGGGCCGGGGCCAGGGTGAGGAGCAGCATCAGTAGTGACAAAGGAAAGGGGGAGAAGGTTGGGCAGAGGCTGCTCTCTGATCCAGTATCTCATCCCTGCTGCTCTTTCCCCTTAGCAATGGCCCTTCAGCCCATGAAATGTTTGGCCTGGGGTTCTTGCCTCTGCACTGGAGCCCTTACCAGAAGCTGTGGAAGTAGGGGAAGTTGATGGCCTGCCAGAGCCCACAGAGCCACCGGTCGCTGATCCAGCTGCCGATGGCCAGTACCCACCACATGACCATGACCTTGGCCATCTGGTGAACCCTTTTGTCATTGCACCTGGAAGACACAGGGAGGGAGGGGAAGCAGAGTATCATGGTGGAAGGAAAGAGAGTCTTAAAGAGGACTGGTTCCTGCCTGCACATGCTGATGTGTCAGGGCAAACCCCAGGGAGTTTGTTTGGGAGAATATTCATCAGACCACAAGAAGCGTGGCTCTGTTGAGAGGGATTCTGACTTTCTGTGGGTGAGGATGATGCTGGGAGATGCCACTCCTATCTTCCTCCTCATCCTGGCAGGTTCTAGCAACCCCACTGCTTCCCAAATGCTCCACAAAGGGGAAAAAGCGGCAGAGATGGCAGCTGGGGAGAAGATGCACTCATCCCATAGACTGTCCCCATTCTGTGTAGTACCCAGACCAGATGGCTTTCTGGTATCCCACTGCCCACAGCCCCACTTGTGCCTCGTCCTGGTCCCACCCAGGCTGCCCCAGTTCTTTGCTGATAGCACATGTGCTTGATGCTTGAACATGTGATGAAATCTTGGGCTGGATTCAGCACTGTGCACAGAGTCACTGCCTCATGTGAGCCTGGCAGGAGATGTGATGGGCCTGCAGATAACCTACCCCAGCCCACTCCTTACTTTTTCAGCTCACGCCGTGTCAGGTACAGCAGGTGGAAGGCGATGCAGTTGAGTGCGTAGGCATTGAAGGCTGGTTTGATGAAGGACATGAAGGTACTGATCACGGTGGTGATGCCACTCAACCAGAAGAAATGCTTCCTAAAGAGAGTGGGGGAGTTGGGATGGAGTGTCAGTGTCCCCAGGCTTCCCAGTGTGGAAGGATAAGGACAGGAGAGGTCCTGCTTATAGCCTGAGAGAGGAAACCTTCTCCAGCACCTCCAATCTGTTTGCACATGGCTGACCCCAGCCTCTGCAGTAGTCCTGGCAGGAAGGCTGAGTTGTCAGTAGCTGTGCTTTGCCCAAACCGCCCCAGTTAGTCCATGACAGAGTGGGCAACATGGCCCTGAAGGTAACTTGTGCACTTCCATGGTGATGCCAGAGATAACCATTGAGAGGCCAAGGCACCGGGAGCTTCGCCCAGGGATGGGCAGTGAGGTAGGAGTCCCAGCAGTGCTGGGCAGGGGCCTGAGCTGGAAACATGCAGAACTGGGCAGGCTGAGCAACAATAGGACTCAGAGGGGCCTTTCACATGCAAATCCCTTCCCAAGTTCCTTCCCTTCTCCCCCAACCATGTCTCCACAGTGAACTCCTGGTGACCTCCTCTTTGGCATGGGAAGAGCAGGCTGGAGCACGTCTTTGCAAGGCTGGGTTCCTGTCCTGCTGATCTGTGCTCATCCAGTGTCCCCATCCTTCCAGCTGGGCTCCCCTTGCCTAGCCAGCCCTCCTGCAACCAACCTGTGACACGTGGGGTGTTAACTTGCACCAGCTTGTCCTATGGGAAACCCCTTCAGCCCTCAGGGAAAGCTCTCTGTGGATGCCAGGGGTGCTGTAACAGTTGGGCAGCACTGACTGGAAGTGCTCAGAAATTCCTAATGAAGGTTGAAATTCTCCATGCAAAGCTTCCACTGCAGCTTCGCAAAGACGAACAGCTCCAGTCAACAGGAGCTCAGCACAGCCCTTCCCCAGGGGAGGGCTTCTTACTCTCCCCCTGTCAGCACATCCACCGCTGCGTGATGGAGGGTCTGATCCCAAAGCAACTGCGGTAGCCTCAGTGCTGACCCCTTGCAGGGGAGCTGGCTGTGGGTCACAGGCATCAGTGTCAATGCTCTATCCCTCAGAGCCTGCAAGCCTTCATCCCTCAGAGTCATACCTGCTCTTGATGCACCTGGGGAAGTAAACCCTCGGGTACCAAATGGCGTATGACACAGCCAGCGTCCAGAGGATGGAGAGCTCATCCAAGAGTTGTCCCACGTAGCTCAGGGTCATGTGAAAGTACGTGGAGAAGACTCCTGCAAGGAGCAAAGGACAGCTTGTGTCAGCAAAGCTCCATCCTCGCGTGAGCCTGTCCGGCCTGGGAAGCTCTTGGGGGCCATTCCTAAAGACACACCTTTCCTGAAGAGCAGGGCATGGACCTTGGTGTTAATGGAGGCCTGAGTGAGTCAGTGCACACAGCGCCACGGGGCTTTACTGTGCTGGAAGCTGTGCACCCACAGCAGGACCCATGAGCTGCAGGGCTTCAAGCAGTTCGGTTCCCTACTCCATCTTGCCCCTGTCCTTTGGCCACTAAGAACCAGCCTCCAGAGGTGTCATGAATGAACAGTCAGGTACTCTGGCAACCTGTCTGGTCTTCTCACAACCTTGGCACCCACCTACACACAAGAGCAGGCCAGAGACGAAATACAAGGGCAAGGCACGCTGCTGACGGTACTGCCGGTTCAGGTAGAGCAGGACAGGAGAAAGGATGAAGAAGCTTACATTGCTGATCTGAAAAACAAGAGGCACATTCAGCTTATTGCATGCTCTTGGGCAAGTTCCATCCCACCCCGTGCCTCGGGATCTCCATGTGTGAATAGGATACTAGTGGAAAGCATTGCATGGAAGCAGGTATCACTCTTGGCACAGGGAGAGAGCAGAGGCGTTTCTCAAGAAGCCAGGCTGGAACTGGAAGGACAGCTCTTGCTGTGACAGGAATGGCTGCAGACATCTGTGCTCCCCGTGCAGGCACCTCTTTTGGCTGATGGTTTAGCTTTAGCTGCCCAGTGTCCTCAAGCAAGCTCCCAGAGCTCTTCTGTTTGCAGCCATCTCCCTCTCCTCTCAACCCACACCTGCCAGAAGTCCCCTGGATTGCTCCTGACCCTCTCAGCCTGCGAGGGGCTGGGTGCGTGTGAGGATGAGTTTCCAGTCAGGCAGCCCACCATTCCCTGCCGATGGAGAGCAGCAGGACAAGCAGCACATCATAGGTGGGAAGTGGCAGGACTGAGGTGATGGCCTGTAGTGTGATGTGCAAAGCCATCTGGCCTGGAGGGGGGAGGTATGCTGAACACTAGTCATTACATGAAGTCATAAACCTCCTTGAAACATCCCTGCAGTGAAGTTATTGTGCCCTGACTTCCAGCTCTGCAAAAGGGTTTTGCTGACAGACGTGGGTATGCCTGGGGAGGAGGGGATGGCACTGGGCACTGCTGCTCTGGGGAGCAGCAGATGCTGATGGGCAGAATGTGGGAGCTGGGGAGGAGCAGAGAGTGCCCGAAGCCAGGAGCTGTCTGGATCAGGCTCTGCAGCTGAGGAGGGAATGAGGTTTGAAACATCCTCACCCTTGATGGGGTCTGACCCTGACTTTTTCACCTGGTTTTGCAAACTCCGTGGAGGGATATCACAGGGAAGCACAGCCTCCTCAAGGGAAACTGGTCTTGCTTATGAAGGGCTGGGGCTGTGGTGTTACTATTTGCCTGCCAGACAGCAGGGCAGAGCCATCTGCTTGGTGGCAAGCCATCAACGTGGCTTTTATGTCACCCTGACAAGCCTTTTCCTTTCATCTTCCAGCTAGATGCTGACCCAGACCCCGAGCCTGACATTCCCAGCTGGAGTCTCACCCCTCAGCAGCCCTTGCATGCACCAGGTACACTGCAAAACTGACGCTTGGGTTATGATGTCCCAGGGATCCAAGTTCGTGGTAACAGGGCTGCAAGTCACTGGGGTGTTGTTGTGTATATGAAACACTCCCTCTCATATTCCAGAGGGAAAAATGCTTAATGTAAGGTCTCTATTCCCTTTAACACCTGGAGATTAATCTTGAATTTCACTAAGGCTTTCTTGAAACAAGCTGATGCTCCCATTAACAGCAATTCTCAAGCTAAATCCATTGGTTTTCCATAAGTTCTTAGAGGCAAATCCAGGCCTATTCCCATTCCAGCTATGAAAAGGGAAGTGCTGCTCCCCCTTGCACACTTGAGTTCAACCCATTCAGAAATGATGGAGAAACCAAACGATGTGCTAAAGTAACAACTGTGCTGCAAACACTTCTTTTCCTGGGAAATGGTTAAAGAGGCCTTTGGAGGACAAGCAGGGATAGCAGGAAGAGAACAAAGGCCTGCAGAAGAGGCAGCAGTGTGCAAGCGCCAGCATGCACATCAGCGTGAGGAAATGCGGCAGTCTGAGGTTGCGTATTGAGAGCTCTGGATCCCTGCTGCAGCAGGCATTGCAACAGGGACATTAATTACATGACAGCAATGTTATCACTTCATTAATTCAGTATGAGATGTGCAAGATCAGATATCAGAGGGGAGGGATGATCAGGGGAATTGCACCAATAGGGTCAAAAAGATAAAGTGGTTCCTTGGAGAGCAGCCAAACTCAGAGCATAGGCGAGAGCCACTGCAAAACCACATCTGTGGAGGACACAAAGCCTTCATCCCTCATCGAATCCAAGCCTTGATTTAAGTGCTGTCGTATACCTTCCCAATCAAATGTGGTTGGGAGGGGGTTGCTCCTTGTTCTCCCTTTAGGAAGTTTTTGCAGGGTCTCTGCTCACTCTGAGTCCCCCAGCACAGCTTCTTCTTATACCTGATCATACCAGCCAGGAGGCACCGGCTCCCTCTGCCTGGGATGCCAGGGAGATAAGAGAGTGGTGATGGAGCCGAGGTGCGATCTGACCTGTGAGAGTCACCCAGCTCTGTGCTTTTCCACAGTGTGAGCTCACAGTGATGTCCCACTTCCTAACAAGTGTGATTTATTGCTCCAGATCCCTAAGCCAAGCCTGCCTCTACTGGCATTTGCTTCTTTCACTGGGAGAAAAGGGAGCCTGGGATCAGTGACATGCCTCCTATCCTGCTGCATTTAGTAGAATCATTGGAAAGGCCCCGGGGTTTCTGCAACTCAGCACTTTGCAGCCTAAGCTGGAGGGAGAGACCTGCAGAGAACCTGTTTGCATCTCTACCCATGCCAGGGTGAGAACAAGCCTCCAGTAAGGACTGGGAGAGGAGCTGCTGGTTTGCAGGGCTCTGCCTGGCGCTGTGAGCATGGCAGCAGTGCAACAGCAGCCAAGGCATGTGCTGGTCCTGCCACAAGACAGGCATTTTCTGCAGTGAAAGGAGATTTCTGCAAGACTCACTGCAGTGCATTCATTCACTTACAGGCCAGCCAACCAGCTTCAGCTGGCAGAAGAGCCCACAGGGCCAAAGTGAATACCTCAGAGGCTCTCCAGACCTGTATAGCAAGTTCCTAATAGCCAGACCTGCGTAGCAGAAGATGAAGCTGCGTGTCATGCTGGTGCTTTGGGCAGGAAGCAGCAGTTGTGTAGTGTCTGCAGAGTGCCAGGCAAGGAGCTACCATACTCCTGCACGTGGCTTCCTAGGCAGACTGAGAGCGATGCTGAGGATTCAGGTGTCATCACCAGCACCCTGGATCAGTCATTTCAGAAAGAAATGAGGGTAGAAAGACGATTCCCAGACTGATGACCCTCGTGGAGCACAATATGGTTCTCCTATGGGCAGCCAGAAGACAATACATTTCTGGGTCACTGAGTCACTATAAATAGTTAGTGCTTTGTTGCTGAACTGCACCCAGTCATGAGCCACTGTGTATTATTAGGTACTTAAAGATACTGTTTACATTCTTTGCTCATACCCTCGGTGCTTATGTCTAATAAAAATCATCCAACCCAAGCAGACCTAAGAGAGAGTGCGGCTGACACAGAGCAAACCTCAGCAGCACAAAGCTGCCCTGCTTGAGCCCTGGGAAGAAGGAGATGTTGCAGAGGATGTTCTGTTAGGAAACCCTGCTGATTTAGTGGTGCAGGAGTCTTGGGTAGGAGCTGGCTGGATTCCCAGCCAGTCTAAAGCTCTGGTTAACTGATGCTGAAGTCAATATTGATATAATTATCTCAGGGCAGGCCAGTGAGATAAGGCCCATAAAGCTTGCCACAGGGAGGAAGCAATCTGAATATAGGAAACAAATGAAGAGAGAAGAGGAAATCTACGCTGGGAGGATCATATCTGAGATAGAGCCCTGGATCTGCAACATGCTGCTGGCAGCAAGGGTAGCTGGGGATCTCAGTTTGGTCCAGTTTCTGTGCTTCCCCTCTTTAGTGCACATCACAAGGAGCCTGATCCTGTGAGAGAGCCCAGAGCATGACGACAGTTCCCCTGCTGCTGCTTTCTCTACACAGAAAGTGCATGTTAAGACAGAAGCTGCAGAAGAGCGCTCTGCTGAGCAGCATGGACTGGTTAAAGCAGCCCGGCAAGAAGGAGGTAAGTGCAGAGACCAAAACAAGCTCTTTCTCTGCTGGGAAAGAGATGTCCTGTGCTCATATATAGAGAGGAACAAGAGCTAGTTTAATTCCTGTAAAACATCCTGCAGGGTTTGCTCTGTCCCAGTGTCTCTGTGTTCCTGGATATTGCACTAGTTTGTATGGTAACATGCATTGGGGAAGTTTTCCTCTCCTGAAGGAAAGCCGTGACTGAGTCCTACCAACTCAAAAGCCCCCCTGACAAGCCCACTGCCTCGAAGATGGTGTGGTATGGAAACATGGGAGATGGCTGTGGCTAGCAGGGACCTCAGTCCACAGTAGGCACCTGGGTAGGATTTTCAGCTGTATAATATAGAAACCTGAGCCACAAAACAACCTAGGCAGCTATGAGTTAATGCTTTATGGGAATGAGAGGGCTGCAGGCCCTAAGAAAGGTAGTTATGCATCTGGCCACACCAACTGATGCCTACAAGTTACGTGCATTATGGAGAGCTCCTGAGATGCTTCTTGGTGTGCTCAGGATCCTGACCACTCTGTGTAAATCAGGATCCTTATGAAACTGGTGTCTCAGCTCCAAAGACACATTTGAAGTATGCTGCCTATGTACTAAGGCAGGAGGTGAGGCACGTTTATCTCCCACAGTGAACTCTGATTCAAACCAAAACTTCCAGACTTGTGCTCTGTGTGGGAATCAGCCCCTCTCCAATGCTGCCAGTGGCACCCCAAAACACAGCTGCCTTTGCACCTCCAGCTACACAGGAAATGTTGGTGCGAGCATACAGGCTTTCTGTACCTCCTTGCTTTGCACCTCTGAGCCCATCCAGCAGGGATGCAGTTGGACCGGGCAGCAGCACAACACGTTCAGCGGGATGCTGGGGGGATGCAGGATTTGGGCTGCACTGGCAGATCTTTAGTTGTTAGCTGTCTCAAAGAGAAGTGACTATATACAGCCTGAGCATCCCTCCTGTGAGAGCCTGACTGCGCAATTAGAGCTGGGGAGCTGCGGGATGCGGGTAAAGGAATTATTGTTATTATAGGCAATTTATTAAAAGCAGGAAATGCTTTAAAGAAAAGAGGAAGAGACATTTCCATGAGAACAAGACCTTCTAGTGTTAGACAGTAATTGCTAAAAGTTGTAAACAAGGCCTTTGGAAGGTTGTAAATCCACATGCCTCACACCCCTGCTAGCCTGTAATTGCACTGAGGTAGGAGGACATGCTTGCAGAGACTGGTTATCCACCGAGTCCTCTGCAGACAGATGCAGATGCTTCCAGCCATGCTTAAGCCAGAAAGCTTTATTCAAGGCACTGGCACTGGATGGAGCCTGAATTATAAAGGATTATAGGAGGTGAAATCAGCTCATGCATCAGCTTTCCTTGGTCTTGAGTTCCGGATTCCCAACCTGCCTGACACGGTTCATGCAAGAGCTGTCTCTCGTTTTGCCACTCCTGTACATTTAGCTGGAATATATGAGCCCTGTGTGGGATTTACCCCAGTTGGCAGGAGAGCTGCAGGACTGGTATAACAGGATCTCACAAATCTGGGCTAAGGAGCACTGCCAGAGTGTTCTCACTGGGAATTTCAGCCCTACACATGCCACAAGCACCCCTGACCCCAGCTCATTTTGGGAGCAACTGGCTGTTGTGAGCAAGAAAAGTCCCATGATTGACCTGAAGCTCAGAAAACCTTCCCCATACTGGCAGCCTCCAACACCAGGAAGTCCAAAGGAGCGAGCAGAGGGAAGAAAACAAGGTTGTCCCATCCCATCTCATCTCCCAGAAGCAGCTCGTGGGTGCCCGCGCCCCAGCCTGCCTTTGGCATGCGCCCGCACTCACGGTGTTGTAGTACTCGGCAATGATCTGCGAGCGCTCAAAGTTGCCTTCACACCAGTCGACTTCAGCACTCTGGTAGGAGAATATGCTCGGCATCGCTGGGCCACCTTTGCAGAAGAGAGAGGAGCAGGTTAGTTTTGCTAGTTTGAACCCAAAGGGAACGTGGAGGCACGCGCTGCCTCTTGCACACACGCTCGCTTCAAGCCAGACTTGCTCAAGCACAGCATCTTACCCTGCTACGGAAGACTCATCCTCTTCCCAACACCCATCGCACTGCAGACAATGTCCTGCTCTGGCCCCACAATGCAAACCACTCCAGGAAATGTTCTTGAGCTCTGAGCCGGTGAGTGGTCACCACAGCCCCATCCACGGCACTAACAGCACTTATCAGGAGCTTTTGTGGCTTCCCCGTTTCAGCCCTGTCCTTGTCACCCTGTCTTCTCCCTTCTCTTCACTTTCTGTATGACTCAGGTCTTCCTTCCAAGAGGACTTCCCTGTACTTCGTTGGCTGTGAACTACCTTTTGGGAGTGGACAACTCTATAGGGTTCATTTCTCATTGGCTCTGTTCTCCTTAGTCGTTTCTCAGCATCTTCCTGAGGGCAGGAAAGCTCAAGCCCTGGAGCACCAGCACAGACCCTGGGTATTACCGGAGTCCTGGGGGCACAGAGCATTGGAAGGTGTCTCTTCAGTGGCAGTGATTTCCTGTTGAATGCACTCCCATGCAAGATCCACCCTGGTTTTCCAGTGAAAGCATCAGAGCTTCACACCTCAAATGGGGTGCCCAGTGCCAGGTCCCCCAGCCTGGCCCCTGATAGTGGCAGAAGCTGCAGCTCCAAGTGGGATTCTATAATAATCTAAACTTTTGCCTGGTTTTCTTCCCCATGCTAAAGACTTTCCTACCCTCAGTGTAAGCATCATTTCTCAGCTCTCTTCTAGTAACTTGAAGAAGTAGAAGTTCTGGTCAAGTTTCCTGTTTGGCATATTTTGTTTCAGATCCTTGAGACTTTGGAGCTGTTTTAGAAGCTGATAGATGGGTTGCACCTTCGGAAGCACCATCCAAACCCTAGCAACTGCGTATTTGGTACACAAGAGCCACAGAAACGCCCTGGAGCTGAGCGGTTAAGTCCCTGCCTGGACTGTGCTGAGCTCACCCATGCAGAATGAGCGGGTAGCGGGGTGACACGAGCCACTCCAATAGCATCTCTGAGCTCCCGAGGCTCTGGTGGGAAACAGAACTTTCTGCTCCTTGAAAATCATTTTGGCTTTGAGCCTAATGCAGGGAAGGGAAGTTCATCTTAAAACCACCCATCAGTTGAGACGTTCTTGAGGAGCAGCAGTCAAGTCCCTGTTTGCACTGGTGTCAGCTGAGTCACACCACCAAGTTCAGCGGTTGCCATAGCTGTGCAATGATGTGAAGCTACCACAGCTTCCTCTGCTTCTCTTCCCAAGAAGAAGTTCAAAGGGAGAACACACGGGAGTGTAACGCTAATACAAACAAGCTCTTCTGTAACCTCCTGCCCCAACCAGATAAACTGACTTGTGGATAAACCTCCCCTGTTCTTTTACAATTGCAAGTTAATGGTGCCCTCTCTTTAATCCAGGCTGGCTGGTTCCCCAGAGCAGGGGAGATCACAGATACGGAAAGAAGACAATAAAATAGATGGCAGGCAGATTGGTTTGAGGTTTGACTCTTCATGATCTTGGGTTTCCACGTGCTCATCCACACCACAGTGACTCTCCTGATCCCTGGTGCTCTGCATTAAGATTTTACAGTGATGGAAGCGGTTGCATGGGGGAAAAGAAGAATCCAAGTGAAGCTGGTAGATCCCATCTCCTGGCTGAGCAGGTGTCAGCCAAGAGATGGTGAAGGATAGAGGAGTTTGAGACAGAAGAAGTAAAAAGGAACAGACAAACCAAAGCAGCAACCAGAGTGCCCAGCGGCTGCTGGCTTGCTGCTCACCTCTCTTCCCAGCCTGGCTTACCTGTGTTCCCTTGGGATGGACCAGCACTGCTTCCACACGGTGAGGCAAAGCGTCGGGAGCTCCAAGGTCTCTAGCAAAGCTGGAGCAGCAACCTGCCTTGCCACTCTAGCACTGAAGGAGTGCCCACGGTGTGAGCTCACCCAGAGCAGCCACAGGAATATACCCTCGCTCCGTCCCTAAGGAAAGCCTTGGGATGAGACAAGAGCCATGCGCACCCTCCAGGCAAACCTGCCGGTCCCCCAAAGGAAACATATTGGCTGGAGGGTTTATATCTGTGCACCCAAATGGGCAGGGGCAGAGAGGGAGGGCAGGGAAGCGTGAGCTGGAAGAGCGGGTAGCAATGCAGCCTGAAATCATCAGTGTGCCCCTAGGCAGGTTCCCGGCGCACGCGCACACACCCCAATCCCAACCCTGTTTTTCCCAGGGGAGGGACTGATCCGTCCAGCCCTCGCAGAGCTGGCTAAACCCCAGTTTTCACCAAAAAGCACGGGGCAAGATGCTGCTGCCTCCGTTTCTCAGGGTTTCGATTGAAGCCGCTCTTCAGCTTCACCCCAGTTCCCCGCTTATTATCCAAAAGGATTTTATTCTCAAGTCACACCTCTTCTAGTGAGTTTATTTTGCTACTGAGTTCAAGCGTTGCATGAATAGGACACTTTTGGGTGACTGCTTTACAAGCATTTTCCTCCTGAATCCCATTCAGGATGTCAAGAAAATTGGCAGCAGTAAAACATTTCCCCCAAATCAACCCTTTTCCCCTAAATTTAGAGTTGGGAAAAGACGAAATATGGTGCTTTCTGAAACGTAACAGCTTATTATTTCATCAGTTCTTCCTGTTGAAACAAGGGAGACAACACATTCAGCAGCATCGCAAGGCAGGGTCAGACCAAGATCCAAGATGTCCCTGAAGAGTAGGGATCACATTGCTGTGATACCAGATCTGCTCCAGGGACTGGCTCTTTGGGAATTTGAACCATTTATTGTGTTAATTCCATGAAGAGGAGCGTGCCTGGGAGCCCCGAGCTGTGCAACACCTCCCAAAGGTGCCAGGGCTTACAAAAGCCTCCCAGATCCATGGGCGATGTGGCATGAGAGGGTAATGAACCACTGAAGCAGCTTCTGTTACAGCACGGTGGAGCCTCTGTTGCATGCAACTAAGTCAAGGCTGGGTGTCTTGCTAGGACACACAGTGCAGCCTGAAGCAGAAGACCAAAGGCAATCCCCAGCGAGATGCTCTTACCCCCTGCTAGCAACAGTTGTGGGAGTCCGGGGGGAATCTGCTTCTTACTCACTTAGAACTCCTGGATGGACTGTGTGAGTAGGAGATGGAGCTCACATGGTGAAAGAAGCTGTTCGGTTCCCCAGGGAATCTCAGTGGGAAGCAAGTGGTGACTTGCCCATCCCAATGCGAAGGCAGGCAGGTGAGGTACAGTGTCAGGCAGGGAAGGTGGCAGAGTTGGATTTGAAACTAAGACAGATGCTGGCCCCATGAACATCCTTGAAAAGAACGAGTTTTCCCACACCAAAACCTATGGCATCCTTGGCATGAGCAAAGCACCCAAGCAGCACTGGGACATCCTGTGCCACACAATGAATAAAACTGGGAAGGATGTCACAGATCCACATCTTCCCTGATTCATCAATAAGGAGGCCACAAAGAGAGGCTGATTTCCTGGTGAGTCCTCCTTCCCAGCTCATCCTAATGGCTACAATCTCCTGCCTGTGGTCAGAAGGCCTGGGATGCTCAGGATGCTGACATGGAAGCGGGCTGGGAGATGGGGAGCCCAGGAAGCACAGGGGTGAAGCTTTCTGGGCCTCATGTGGGACTTATACAGAGAGATCTCTGTGTGTGTCTTCTTTCTCCTAAAGCTCCACCCAAGTTCTCAACTTCTTGCAAAGACTTGCTTCCTCTCCACCTTTCTCCTAATATGTGACATCTCAGCTCAGGCAAATGTGTCTCCTCTTCTCTTTGTGGAGATCAGTGATGAGTGGTGTCCCTCAGGGGCTGGTGGAGACTGAGATGAGCTCTTAGGCACAAGTTCTTCCCTGTCAGGGTGCTGAGGCGCTGGCACAGGGTGCCCAGAGAAGCTGTGGCTGCCCCATCCCTGGCAGTGTTCAAGGCCAGGTTGGACACGGGCATGGAGCAAGCTGCTCTAGTGGAAGGGGTCCCTGCCCATGGCAGGGGTTGAAGCTGGATGAATTTTAAGGTCCCTTCCAACCCAAACCTCATCCCGTCCCCTTAGCTGCTCCCTCCTCGCTCCCTGGAACTGATACCATCTTGCAAGATCCCACATCCCAGGCAATGACCCAGGCTTTGTGATATGGGACATGCTTCAATCTGGAGAGCCTCTTCCAGCTCCTCTGCCTGTCTGCCCTCCCTTGGGCAGGCAGTGGGGTCTGGGGGTATTGCACTGAGATTGCTGAGAGGGGCAGTGAGAGGGGCAGGGGCTGTCACAGAAACTGAGCCTGCACCCTTGGGGCCCAACTGCAAGTGTGTTATAACCTTTATAAGCTGTGGTGAGGAAGCAGTTCTGCTGCTGGTGCCACCAAAACAGGGACATGGGGAATCTGCAGGGCGTGTTTGAGAGGATCCAGTTGATGAACTTGAGGCTGGTCCTCCCTGCCTTGTCCTGTGGCACCTCGGATGGATGCTGATGACACGGGGTATGTTTCTGAGAAGCCCACGTGGAGAAGCTGTGGCTCAGAGGCACGTGTTTGTTTCTTGCCTTGTCTGGTGTGGGGCTGTGACTGTTGGCAGAGGGGCAGAAACCAAGAGCTGGGGCAGGGAGGGTGAGGTGGGAGTGCTGGCATCCTGCATCCCTGCTGCTGTTGGCTCAGCACGTGTGAGTCAGAGCCCTGCGGTGGAAGGAAATGGGATGACTTCGCCCCATTCTCACAGCGAGGGTGAGTCGGGAAGGGTACCCAGGGAATTCTGCCTCCCCATTGCTCTGCCTGGGCACAGGAAGGCCCTGGAGCAGCCTGGACAGGCTCCATTCTGCTGCCAGCTCTTTTGCTTTTGGTACATGCCTTTAGCTCCAGGGCTGCAATTTCATTCTTCCACACATAAAAACACAGGCAGGTGACCTGGGAGCCTTGCTAATGCTGAACGCTTTGATAATCCCTGTCACTCATGACTCCACAGGGCAGGAATCGTGTCCTCTGCTTGGTTTGGAGGCTGTTTAGCAAATTGCGGTCTGGAAGAAATAATAACAGCAGCAGGAGACGTGCTAAAACTGGATGTGCTTTACACAGCCAAATGAAAGCATTTGTCTCCATTGCTGCTGTAAAGCCTACCGGGAGCAATGTACCCACTCTCCTTCACCTCTGCAGAGCTGTAAATATCTCTGTTTCTTCACCAGGTAGGGCAGGAGCTCCAGGCAACCAAAACGCATCGCGAGCAACAGCAAAGGCGGACTGCTCCGCACGCCAGGTGTGGCTTTGAAGTCTCAAATGCCTGAAGTACCCCCTCTTTACAACATCACAGCCCTGGTGCTTGTGCAGATCAGGAGCAGAGCTCAAGCCTTGTCAGGCTCCAGGGTCTCAGGTCTCAAGGTCCAGGAGAAATTCCCCATCAATCCATCACCATTGAGCAACCACTCTATTATCTTTCCTCCAGGCAGGATGCCATACCAGCTAACCCAGCAGTCTCTGTCAGTCTGACCACCCTGGGCTTGTTTGGAAATGCAGACAGGTTTAAATCGAATGCCTTAATTGCTAATAGTAACAGCAATAAGAGCACTAATTAGAGGAAGTTCTCCCAGCGCTGTCATCTGTCACATGCGCTTCGCAGTGCGGTTGTGTTGTGCCACAGGGATTTGATAACTCAGCAGGAGTTGCCTGCTGGATACACAGGGCTAAGCAGAGACGTAGAATCCCAGCCTGGGTTGGGTTGGAAGGGACCTTAAAGCTCCTCCAGCTCTAACCCCTGCCAGGGCAGGGACCCCTTCCACTGGAGCAGCTTGCTCCAAGCCCCTGTGTCCAACCTGGCCTTGAGCACTGCCAGGGATGGGGCAGCCACAGCTTCTCTGGGCACCCTTCTTGTAGATGAAAATAGGAAGTACCTAAGTCAGGAGAGAGAAAACTCCCCTTGTTCTTGGCAGTGCTGAACCAGCCCAGCCAGGGCTCTCAAACACAGCGAGGGCTGCCTGGAGTCCCATCAGGTTGCCGGCTGAGCAGACCCAGAGCAGGGAGGCAGCTCTTGCCAAACCAAAGCCCTGCATCCAGCAGCTTCTCAGCCTTCCTCACTTGCAGGACTGTGGACTCTGAAGAGACGTGTAAATGGAAGGAGATAAAGTTCCTTCTCGCTTGGGCTGAGCCTGCAGCTTTGCATCCGGCTGTCAGGAGCTTGGCAGTGCTCTGCACGCAGGGAGATGGCTTTATCTAGGGTTGCAATCCTTTCACAGAGTGGTGCAAAGCTCTGGCAGGAGACAGCAATGGTTTGGGCATGTTCTGTGAGAGACTTAAGAGCAGAGCCTGCAACAGGCCTTGGGAACCAGAGGTTTCTTCACCAGTGGCAGAGTTGGTCTGTTGAAAGGGGTATAAGAAAGAAGGCAAGCAGGAAATAACTCTGCCCTATCTTCTAGTGGTCAGTGACTTAATACTTCCTTAGCCAGAGGTCCTGGACCATCATGTTTAACCAGTCAGAACACAGCAATCCTGTCTATGTTTATCTCAAGCTTTTAAAGGTGATTTTTTTGAGGTCATATCCTGTGGAAATGACATTCAGCTTAAAGAGGTGCTGGGTGAAAAAGTACCTCCTTTTGCCTATCTGCTGCATGCTGGCTGCATTCGTGCCCTCCATGTGGGTCAGTTCTGGAGGGAGAAATCATATTCCCTGCTCCCATCCTCCAGACCCTTCACTGCATTTCCCTGCAACCTCCTCATCCCATATGGGTCATTCCCAGTGCACATCCCTGTGCCTTGCTTAGTTTCCTATCTCTGTTCAGAGGAGCACATCCCATCCCAGATGCTTTGAAACCTCTGTCTGCCTACAAGAAGCAATGGAGATCCCTTCCTAGCAGAGAGCATCCTTTGTGATTCAAACTCAGCCCCACCAGATACAAGCAATGCTTGTGTCCTCCTGTGAGCCATGTACCAGCCCCTGCCTGTGTGCCCATGCCTGCACAGTGAAACACGTTCATGTCAAGAGCATGCCACTCTCCTGCAGATCCTGATCTTGGTGGCCTTAACAGAGCTGGATGCATCCCTGAAGACGTCTTGTCCTCTCTGCACACTCCATAGGAAGCTCCTGATCCCTTTGCTTAAAGATCTTTAAGATCATCAAGTCCAGACATTAGTCTGGTGCTGCCAAGTCCACCACTAACCCGTGTCCCTGAGTACCACACCTCCATGTCTTGTAAGTACCTCCAGGGCTGGTGTCTCCACCACTTCCCTGGGCAGCCTGTCCCAGTGCTTGACAGCCCTTCCTTCTGGAGAAGAAATCATTGCTAACATCCAATCTAAACCTCCCCTGGTGCAACTTGATGGGCAACCAGTAGGCCAAAATCTAGGAAGAAGCTGGTTGGGAACATGCCTTCCATGGAAGATCCATTCCTTCCCCCACTGGCCCTTTCCAGCATAGACCTTTTCCTTTATTCACTGAATAACTCCCTGTTTCTTCACTGTATTGTTCACTTCTTACATTTTCAGCTTTCCTTTTCCCAGAGGGACTAAACCCCATCTCTAAATAAGAAACCCAACTGGTCCTGAGGGCTCAGGAGTCTGCGGGCAGCAGGGAGATAAATCCCAAGGGCCCAAAATAGCCCCAGGTTGGTGCAATTCACTTGGCTTCCTGCTTGCATCAGGACTGAGTTTGGCTGTGAAATAGCTCCGAGGTGTGGGATCAACCCTGCCTGCCTCTGACCTGTCCTGGGGCTCCATCCCAGCTCCAAAGGCACGTGCAAGGGGAGGATGCAGCGGTAGGGATGGTGCACGATGCAGTGGCAGGGATGGTGCACGATGCAGTGCTAGGGATGGTGCACGATGCAGTGCTAGGGATGGTGCCCGATGCAGTGGCAGGGATGGTGCACGACGCAGCGGCAGGGATGGTGCACGATGCAGTGCTAGGGATGGTGCACGATGCAGCGGCAGGGATGGTGCACGATGCAGTGCTAGGGATGGTGCACGATGCAGTGGCAGGGATGGTGCACGATGCAGTGGCAGGGATGGCGCACAATGCAGCAGTAGGGATGGTGCACGATGCAGTGGTAGGGATGGTGCACGATGCAGCGGTAAGGATGGTGCACGATGCAGCGGTAAGGATGGTGCACGATGCAGTGGTAGGGATGGTGCACGATGCAGCGGTAGGGATGGTGCACGATGCAGTGGTAGGGATGGTGCACGATGCAGCGGTAGGGATGGTGCACGATGCAGTGGTAGGGATGGTGCACGATGCAGCGGCAGGGATGGTGCACGATGCAGTGGCAGGGATGGTGCACGATGCAGTGGTAGGGATGGTGCACGATGCAGAGGCAGGGATGGTGCACAATGCAGCGGTAGGGATGGTGCACGATGCAGTGGTAGGGATGGTGCACGATGCAGTGCTAGGGATGGTGCATGATGCAGTGGCAGGGATGGTGTACGATGCAGCGGTAGGGATGGTGCGTGATGCAGGAGGGAGCTTTCCCAGTGCCAAGCTCTTTCCCAAGCCCACCCCTGCGAGGATTCCTGCCCACACCCTTGCAGGAGGGCGAGAGGGTTGCACAAGGGCTGGTGATGGAGGAGGCTGCTCTGGGAACACAGCCTCCAGGGTAAGTCCTTGCTTATCTCCCCAGCGCAGCTCCCTTGTTGAGACTGGAAACTGGGATGGGAACTGGGAGATGGAGCCATCCCACCTGCAGCGCGCCTCTCCCTGTGACACCTGTGGGACCGTTTCCCAAAGAATGGAGTTTCCCCAATCCTGCTTTCCTGGCCTGAAATCTCCCTGCAGGCACTGAGAGGAGCACAGCGGC